AACATTAACGCAGCAAAACAAGCGAAATATTTCTCAAGTAGCAAGGCAGGTCGCCCTTTTTGTCCTGATGAAAGAAAATTGGTTTCTTTCTGATACGTTTGAGACTCCTGGATGACATTTAGAACGTGGCATCATATTGTGAAGGATTTCCAAGCATTTTCCGCTGTTGTTGTCGCCATCCTGCAGCCGAAATTGAAGTCTAACAGCATTGCTTTTTTTTTTCCCAAAGAGTGCAAAAGGGTGACGGCCCCCCTGAGAGGAATGTCATAGAGGCGAGCTCTGATCCGCACAGCAGGCAGTGCCAGCCGCTCGCCAACTGAAGGTCTGCTGTGTCAGCCTCAATCTGTCTCTGTATCCTCATTCGTGCCAACATACTGTCTGCCAAGGTGCCATAATGCTACAGTGCTGGAGCACACATACTCAGGCCCTTCTCTCCAGGCATCAGGAGCAAACAGGAGCAGCCGACAAGTGCAAATAATACGCCTCACAAAGATTCACACGTCAATAAAAAGAGAGAGAAAGACACACATACTGGCCCGTATACAGTACATATAAAGTCTAATACAGATGAGCTCAGACAGGGAAGATTATTGGCCTTTTTAGCTGTGCACAGAAATAACGATCCATAAAATAATAGTAGGCCTAATATACAGCTGTTACTTGAAGTGGTCAATCGTTGATTCTTATTTTTGAATAAATATGTAATAAACAAACACCATCATTTAAGGATTAGTTATATACAATAAAAATGAAGTAAAATATTTAACAGTGGTCTAATAAATTAATCTAATTGATTTTACCTACACTGTAAAAACATATATGACCAATTAGTCCTGACAGCATGCCAGTCATTGTAACTTATAAGCTAAGTTAATCATGTTCTAACTTAATTTCATAAGTTACGCAAGCTGTTTTAAGTCAGTTTAACATAATGTAAGTTTAATGGACTATAAGGTTAATTTGATTCAACAAATTTAAGGCAACCAGGATTTTTGACAGTATTGTAAGGAATAAGCACAAATTAATACAATAACCACTAGATACTAATTAGGTATTAGTCGGCTACTTAATGGAAAACATACTAATGTTTTTAATAAATTCTAATAATAAAGTAGGTGGAATTTTTTGTAGATTAAATGGTAAAATGGCAGGTTTTCAAAACTGAATCTATATTATTTTGAATACTGGAATGATATTTAAAAAATCAGGTTAATTTATTCAACCCAAAAAAAAAAAAAAAAAAAAAATATATATATATATATATATATATGTTGATATATAAATATCTTGATATATGTTATATATTTATATTTGTTGAACTGCATCTTATTATCACAAATACTGCAGAAGACCTGTAGGAACTCACATGGACCCAAGATTCTCATAGTTATCAGTCAAGTTCGGTGAAGGGAAAACCATGGTTTGGGGTTACATTCAGTATGGGGGCATGCAAGAGATCTGCAGAGTGGAAGGCAACATCAGCAGCCTGAGGTATCAAGACATTTGTGCTGTCCATTACATGACAAACCACAGGAGAGGACAAATTCTCCAGCAGGATAGCACACCTCATACTTCAGCCTCCACTTCCTGAAAACTTCCTGAAAGCAAAGAAGGTCAAGGTACTTCAGGATTGGCCAATCCCCAGCCCAGTCATCAAACATGAACATTATTGAGCATGTCTGGAGTAAGATAAAGGAGGAGGCATTGAAGATAAATCTAAAGAATCTTGATGAACTCTGGGAGTCCTGCAAGAACGCTTTCTTTGCCATTCCAGATGACTTATTTGAGTCATTGCAGAGATGCACAAATATTAATTATTTTCCACTGCACCATGACTTTATAGTCTATACTGTACATTATTTCTGTTAAGTGACAAAACTTTTGTCTAATCAAAGTGAGACCTTACTGTCCTAATTAAATAATTAAAAATCAAGCCACGATCATATTTTATTTTGGTAAAATTATCGTAATCTAGAGGCATTTGCCTTTCATATAAGCCACTTCCAATACCAATTGATCAACTGGAAGTCCAGTTATTATTTGTTGTTCCTAACTTGGATAGTCGACAAGACTTTTGTCAGGTAGTGCATATAAATTCAACCAAATGCAACCAGCCTTGTTAAGTGTAAGATACTTTAAAAACGTTTCCATCTGAAAATACATTTTGTCTGTTGTTATCTTATATGTTTCTCCTCCAGGTGCATCGGCTTCAGCTGCGCTGATATTCACTTCTTTTATTAAACTAAAGATCAGTCATCTTAACGCATACCGATGTTGAGTGATGATTCAAGGTGAATTCTTCCACTATAGATGTACATAAAGATGTCTTTCATGAGCCATAGAGCTTTGATTGAGTTGACAGCAGAAAGACTTATCACCACTGATGAATTTTTGTTGATGGACATCCTTTATGTGTGTTATGCAGTCTTAAGTCTTGCTCAAAACACAAAAGGAGATGTTCAAATGTGTGTCTCATGAGTTTTGAAGATGTGAATGCATGAATATGAATGACAGCATGCTCATTTTTTTGGTATTCCTTTAAATCTGTGTCATGTCAGTATGAATAACTAACGCTTGACCAAACATGATTCACTCAGCATTTCTTAAAACTTTGAGCCACAAGATCAAATATGTCACCATGCATAAAAATAAAGCTGCAAAGATGCTAAGCCAAGAGTTTTAAAACTGCTTTAAAACTATCCTTACATAATTTTGGGGATAATCAGGGACGGTGCAATGTGGTGGAAGTTATAGGATTAGTTCACCCAAAAATTAAGATTCTGCTATTAATTACTCACACTCATGTCATTCCAATCCTCTGAGACCTTCAGAACACAAATTAAAATATTTTAGAGCTCTCTCATTCTTTGTGTGCCAAAAAATTTGTGAAAACTACTTTGTTTACCTATATCTTCTCTCCTGTGTCAGATCATCTGTGTGCGTTTATTACAAGCAGTACCCCATTAGTATTGCCAATAGAATCAGCTGTGAAACACACAACTGTTGTATTGCCTGTAAAAGCACACTATATGGAAGACATTGGTGAGTAAAGTTGCTTTTACAGTTTTTTTTTTTTTTTGTGCACACAAGTGTTCTTGAAGCTTTGTATGATTATGAACCACTGAAGTCAAATGGAGTGATTTGATGTTGTTCTTGTCTCGTGCTGATACTTAGTAATTTAATAAATCATGATTATGAAGACGCAGAATATTGATATTGTTGTCAAAGTACTGTAAATAATTACTATTATTTCAAGTTTCAAGTGTTTCAGTGTTGTATTGGCATTGGTTGTCTTGATAGACTGTTAGATTTCACATGTCATTATTACATGTTAATCTGGCCACGACATGCAGGAGATATTGATAGAAAATACTTTGACTATTTATAGGCCTGTTGTTAGTTAACACAAATTTTTGTTAACACTAGTTAACATCAGTTAATTTAACTAAACTCACAATGAAAACTACAAAAGCTGATTTATGAAATGGAGTTAATGCATACAATTCTGTTATATTTTTAAACTAACTTTACCATAGTAAAAATATGTGGATTTCAATGCATTCACCGAAGTTTAAGTGTTATCTGTTGTACTTTATGATTGTTTTGCAATTTTTTATTTTGATATTTTTAAGCATTTGTTTAAACCAAACAAGTATAAGTGTTTTTGGCTATTATATATTTTTTGAGGCTTAAAGGGGGCCTATTATGCGAAACAAAAACAAAAAAACACTTTTACAAAAGTTTGTGTCCCCACATGTGAATATAGCCACCGCCTAATGGTAAAAATGTATACATTTTTTATATTCACACTTTTTTATATACACACAGTCTGCAGAAACATTTTAATTGGCATTCCCCCTGATTAGCATAAACAGCCCTAAGTGAGAAGCAGTCGTCCACGACTAGAGTTTTCACATCGTAGCAGCTGAAGATGACGTTAACGACTAACATGATTATAATGGTTGAGTCTTAGTATGCACAATTGAACACTGTAATCTCCATAGGCGAACCTACTTTAGGCCACTTTATTATTGGTTTTTCAGAGGCAATACTAGTACTGTTTTGAATCTGACACTAAGTTGATTCCCTCCACCCACTTTTGAAAAGAGCACGATTTCAGTAGACTCTAAAGGGACAGCCACCAAAAAAACTTGTATCAAAGCCTAAAAGGGGCAGTTTTAAAGATTTATAAAAATATATACTTGAGGCACTTGCAGTATTTTGAGCTGATGGATCTTCAAATACACACTCTAGGGACATCAGAGACTTTTTTACATCTTGTAAAAAGGGCCATAATAGGTTCCTTTAAGTGAATACTGTGAAAATACTGTCTTTCATGATAAAAGTTCAACAAATAATCGCAACAAGAAAATCAGATACCATCATAAGCTTACTCACAACCCTTGCTGTCTATAAAAGATCAGAGAGCTCCTAGATTTCATCTAAAATATCCTAAAGCGCACCTATTTTACGCTTTTTTTTTCAAGATTTAAGAGAAGTCTTTTGTGTTTCCAGAATATGTCTGTAAGGTTTCAGCTCAAAACACTCATCAGATTATTTATTATACCTTTCATAATATAGTTTTTTTTTTATTTGAACACCTTTGTAGCTGTTTTTTTTTTTTGTCTATGCCTTTATTTCTAGTTCTCCCCACCCACTGTTATCACGTAACGTTTGTGAGAAATACTACAGTAAGAACTTTCCCAATGATTATTTGATGTATTTGTTGTGGAGTTGCAACGATGAGTCACATCATTACAGTGAATGTCTGTCTCAGGTTGCAATGATTTGTGAGTGTCTAAATAGCAATAGATTCATTTTTAGGTGAACTAACTCTTTAAATGGATATTGTGTTTTTCATTTTTCATATCATTCAGATCAAACGTTAATGATCAAACCCCCTGCAGTGTCACAGTCATGAGCAAATAATGAGGTTTCAAAACTATTTTCCCTGTCTCTGCTGAGAATGTATAGAATGTAATAAAGCCTAGGTCAAAAGGTAAGACATACTGAATGCATTTATTATAAAAAGCCAGAGGCCATAATACATTAAATCCAACATAATTTTAGCAAAAAGGTCATGTTTATGTGTTCACTGACAAAACTTGAAACTAAATTGACCCACTCATTCCCTGACAAAAGCCTTCCTGTAAACTTAAACGCAAGTAATAGACAGGATAAAGGTTAACAGGAAAGGTTTTCCACATGTGAGATAATTGTGTAGAACTGTTCAGAGAGAGAAAACTTCTCTGTGGGTTCATGAAGAATGAGTGTTATTTGTCTTTCTTGCTCTCTGAATCCTCCTCCTCCTCCTCCAGGGGGCTCTCAGACTCTTCTTCAAGCACTGGCTGTGGTTCCTCAGGCCTCTCTCCTTTGCTGAATTTCTTATATTTCTGGAATATCTCATTTAGGTTAAAATCTCGAATAATGTTGTCCTGTAAAACACATAAATGCATGTCTTATGGAACAAAATCCAACTGGTTGTTACAAAGGCTAACTCATTAATTTAATTCTGAACTGCCACGCGCATAAACCAAGTTAATAAAACACGTAATGATTATAAGTTTCTGAGAAAACTGAACACATTTTTAGCACCACTCACTGAATGTTTGTGACCCTAGACCACAAAACCAGTCATAAGGGTTTATTTTGGGAAATTGAGATTTAAAGTTGCAGGTGATTGTCTCCAGAAACAATTGTTGTTGTGCTGGTTAAAAGTCTCTTCACATTCCAATAGTAATGTGTAATAGTAATAGTAATTAGGGCCTGTGGGCCAAAGTCAGCCCATGTTAACCTTTGGTTTGGCCCACCATCCCATCTGAGAAGAGAGAGAATGATGCGAATGTTTCAAAATTGTTAGTTCAAATTTAATGTAACCCTTGGTTTGTTTTATTGTTAAAAGCTGACTGAATTGAAATGTTACAATTAAATTGTCAAGTTAAGTTGTTGGCAATGCATATTAGTCACCAAATTAAGTTTTGATATATTTACAGAAAATAGATCATAGAATATTTTTGGCATAAACTAAAAATCTATCGTTTTTACTACTAAATTAAAATTTTGGGTATTTTCATAGATATGCCCATGCAACACAACTGTCTAGGAATAAATTCTACTTTGAAACTGCATGCAACGCATAGGAACAATATAATATAATTTTTGTGAACGTGAAATAAACTAAAATGGTCAAGTGAATGCCAATATTTATCAGAAGCTCCTTCAGCAAAATTATTTCCCTTTAATATCTAAATTTAATATAAACAATTTCTCACAATGCACATTCTGTAATTCTGATATAATCTGTTAAATGTTTATAATTTGGAACACAGCAGAATGAACCACCAACTTATCGAGCATATGTTTTATACAGCGGATCCCCTTCTAGCTGCCACTCAGTACTGGGAAACACCCATACACTCTCACATTTACACACATACACTACAGGCAATTTTGTTCATCCAATTCACCTATGGCGCATGTCTTTGGACTGTGGGAAAATTCGGAGCACCTGGAGGAAACCCACGCGAACACTGGGAGAACATGCAAACTCTACACAAAAAAGCCAACTGACCATCTTTGTTATGAATCTTTAAATGAGAACGCTGCTAAATCAATTGTGCTTCTGATAATAAATAAAGTTATCGTTGTACGTGTTATTATCAGATTTTTGTTTTCATTCATTTTTTTCTGTTTTCTCTTTATTTACATATTTGTTAGTCTTTCATGTTTAGATTTTTTATATTTTGTTATATTTATGTATTATTAAAATGTATAAGACAATACTGCCTATCGCACAAAAAACAGCGTAAAGCAGTTCCATTTTCAATTTCATTTCAATTTCATAATTGGTGTAATAACAAAATATTTTAATCAAAGCACTTCCGAGTTGACCTGCAGTAAATGTACAAAATCTGCTTGAAAGGGAGCTTGGATAGTAGTGTAGACTGTGGCTTAGTTTTGTAACTATATCAGGAATTGATTGTTGTTGCTTGCTTTTGTGATCTCATGTGCTTGCCTTGACAAGGTGATCTCACGCCATTAAATCATCAAAAATCAAAAGAGAAGAACAGACATATTTTAAGTGAGATAACAAATTTCTGTTTCTTTTATGACTTTAAAATTAGCTAAACTCCATGAGAGAACCGCCGACTTGGCAACCCTTGAATGTTTGACGTGCAGGTTTTTACCTCAGTGAAATTCCAGCTTACAGCTCTCCCTTTTTTGTCCACCAGAGGGCGGCGCATGAGCTCTCGACCGGCCTGCAGCATCAGAAGTGACGGAAGCTGCTTGCAGAGAGGAGATGGGTTTACCTTATACCTGAAGGGGAGCACAGTGATGCAGAGTTAATCAGAACTACCACAGCCCCATATAACTCTAAACAAGCCTATGGCTAATATTATTTTGAGGTTACGCCGAAGACAGTCTGGAGAAATTGGTTTTACCTCTCAGCAACAGCTCCATAATGTCCAATGTCCACTTTCCCAAATTTGAGACCTAAACAGGTATACCTGGTAACCACAGTCAAAGTCATGAAGAGGTATATAAGTATGTATGCTTGTTTAGCCTACATTTTGTACTCCAAAAGTCACTGTGGGTGTATTCCTCAGGCCCAATAAGAAAGAAAAGCTTTTATAATTAAAATATTTATTTAGGGGAGAGTGGGTATGAATGTTACATTATTTTCCAGAAAGTCCCGGCAGCTAGCTCTCTGCAACTCTCACATGGTCTCCCACTGAAACTAAGGCTGCGCCTGAATGGGAGACTACAGGGGAAAGCTAGGCTGCCGGAAGTGATGTTAACGAGGCCAACCTGTGCTTTGTGTGGGTCCTAATGCCCCAGTATATTGATGGGGACTCTATACTGCTCAGTAAGCGCCGCCTTTCGGATGAGACATTAAATCGAGGTCCTGACTCTCTGTGGTTGTTAAAAATCCCAGGATGTCGTTCATAAAAGAGTAGGGGTTTAACCCCAGCATCCTGGCCACTTTTGCCCACTGGCCTCTGTTCATCATGGCCTCATAATCCCCATATCATAATTTGCTTCATCACACTCCCCCAATCAGCTGGTGTGTGGTGCAGTATGGCTGCAGTAGCTTCATCCAGTAATGGATGAATCACTGGTATTGGATGCGGAGATTCCCCAAAAAATGTGTAAAACTTTTGAGTGTTTTGCTGCTATATAAATATAAGGAATTATTTCTATTATTATTATTATTATTTTTATTATTATTACTATTAAAGTTGTCTTTGTTTAGACATTGGATTATGGGGACAGCCATCTAAAATGCTGATTGGTCAAAAGCAACGTTTTGTAGTATTTGTAGCACTTAGCAGTACCCTTAGCAGCATAAACAATCTATTTACTGTAAACAATTTATTTTTTTATTTTAAGTATTACAGAAAAAAAGATGTTGTGCCTAGAAATGAATTTAAGCTGTGACTCTGTAACTGTAACCTCACAGTGACCTTTTTACTTAAAGGTGTGTGTGTGTGTGTGTGTGTGTGTGTGTGTGTGTGTGTGTGTGTGTGTGTGTGTGTGTGTGTGTGTGTGTGTGTGTGTGTGTGTGTTTGTACCTTGTATGCTTTACGTTGTGGGCACAAGTATATAACTACACAAGTAAATTTTGACCATGTGGGGACATTTTTTACCAGGGGTGCCCAAACATTTTTGTATAAAGGGCCGAAAACCAAATACCATTGAGAGCCGTGGGCTGAAGGTAAATATAATAAACTATATTACAATAAAGTTTAGGGGTGGGGGTGGGGGGTTACGCAGTGGTACAGTAGGTTGTGCAGTCGCCTCACAGCAAAAAGGTCACTGGCTCGAGCCTCGGCTTGGTCAGTTGGTGTTTCTGTGTGTAGTTTGCATGTTCTCCCTGCGTTCATGTGGGTTTCCTCTGGGTGCTCTGGGTTCCCCCACAGTCCAAAGACATGCGGTACAGGTGAATTGAGTAGGCTAAATTGTCTGTAGTGTATGAGTGTGAATGGACTGCAGCTGGAAGGGCATTCTCTGCATAAAAACATATGCTGGATAAGTTAGCGGTTCGTTCTGCTGTGGCGACCCCAGATTATTAAAGGGACTAAGTCGAAAAGAAAATGAATGAATGCACGACATTAAAGTTGCCATGGGTAATAATTTCCTCATTTATTAGAAACCATTACTTTAAATTGTAATAACTAATGCAGTAAAACATTTAAAATGATTACTTATTGCTATAAAACATAAACAATCACATTTACAGTATAACACCAGCGAGTTCAATGCTGAATACATTGGTCAAGCCAATTCTGCCTTTGCCTTGATTTGTCCTCTATCGGTCGGGTGACAGTATGTGCATTTAAACTAAATTTGATTTATTTACACCGTTTAATTGAAACATTAATTTTAGTGAGCTTTTAACAATAAAACAAACAAATATACAAACAAAAGGTTACATTATATTAGAAATGACAATATCTAAAGCCCCGCCATCATTCTTCCTCTCTACTCAGATTAGATGGCGCTCCAAATCATCCACCATGGGCCAACTTTGGCCCGCGGGCCCTAGTTTGGGCATCTCTGCACAATACAGTATATAAAAATTGTTGCATCTAAAGCAGGGGTGTCTAAACTCAGTCCTGGAGGCCGGTGTCCTAGAGAGTTTATCTCCAACTCGCTTCAACACACCTGCCAGGATCTTTCTAGTATATCTAGTAAGAGCTTGATTAGCTGGTTCAGGTGTGTTTGATTAGGGTTGAAGCTAAACTCTCCAGGACACCGGCCCTCAAGGACCAAGTCTGTACACCCCTGGTCTAAAGGAAGTCCCCATAAAGATAGCTGTACAAGTGTATGTGTGTGTGTGCATGTGTGTGTGTGTAACTTACTTAAGTGATAGGTCAGCAAAAATAGGGGCAAATGACTGACATTCTGGAGACCAGTTGGCATAAAACTCAACAATCCATGTGACACGACTGTCCCTCTGCAGTTCCTCCTGACATTTCATAGAATAGCATGCAAAATGATTAGTTTATCTTATTATTTTACTCATGGAACATAAATAATAATAGTATACTGCTATACAGAGAGTTTAGGCTACAGTCTATTGTGAGATGAAAGATTTGTTTGGTGATGTAGCTCATTTTATTTCAATATTACATCGAAAAATAATCACTAAAAGATGAGAAATTGACAAAAAATTAACTGTAAATGCGAACATAAAACTATATGAACATAAAGCATTAAAAGATTGGCAATTGACAAAATTATTTCAAAAATATACATTTATAATACATTTAAAAGTATAAACTTGTTAAAAATGCATAAATTAATTTAAAAAAATGATATAAATAGTATTTTTTTTGTGTTATAAACTTTTCCACAAGCTAGAACATGCAAAAAGAATTAAAAGAGCACAGTCTGTACTTACATCTATAGTAGAGTCTCTGAAGTATTTGATGTTCTCAGGGCCCATGTAGGCTGGTGGTTTACATGTGATCAAGAACACTGTAGTGAGAAATAAAGAACAACAAATATTACACTTTATTTGTCACACAGTTCTGTTTTTTTATATAAATCAAGCATATAAAGCATCTATTATACATCTCTTAAATATTTTACAATCTTAATTTCATGTTTGCCATCATTTATTTACCCACACACAGCGTGAGGTAGAGCAGGCCGAATCTCAGATCCACTCTAAAGAACAGCACCACGTTCGCCACCTTACTGAAGAGGAATATATTCCCTATATGTTGCTCCACAGTTACTGAGAAGGAAATACAGCCTAAATTCAAATAAAGCGCTACCAATGCAAATGCCACTCATGAATATCTTGTCTGTTTATATGATGATGATTTATTGAAGTTAAACGCACCTGCTCTGCGGTTCTTCATCATGACAATGGCACCAAGAAACATAAAAATCTCCACCTCCCTCTACAGAAAGCAAATATATTTTGTAAATATATAAAAAACTTTTGAAATTATTTGTAAATATTTATTATTTAAATTGAAAGTGTTTTTTTGTAATTGTTCTCCCAGCAGTACTATTTTAATGTGTTTCATTCATTAATTTTCTTGTCGGCTTATTTAGTCCCTTTATTAATCCGGGGTCGCCACAGCGGAATGAACCGCCAACTTATCCAGCACACACACATATATATATTTACTATTAAATATGTTTTATTTTAATGATTGTCTTATTTTAATAAGTTTGGAAGTTTGTTGAGGCCTCATTTATGAGTTTTTTTTGTTGTAAAATAGCTTTAAAATACCCAATATAAAAACCCAAGTTAAAATAGGCTATAATCAGGGAATTGTTAATATCTGTTAACAGAAACAGCACAGACTAGTGCTATAGGCATATTAGCCATATTCAATTGACAGTATCCTGAATAATACTTTTAACTTTAACATGTTATTGGCCTACATATTTGAAGTCAAACCTCTATGAAGTGCAGCACTGACCCAGTCGAAGGCGCAGGAGTCTCCGTCCTCTCTCTGGGACGGTAAATGCTCACACAGTCCCGGGCAGCAGCGCACGATGACGAACGCCAGAGTCATCAGCAGTGACAGGAAATAATAAGGCCGGTAAAACCATTTATAAATCTTTGGAAGATAGTAAATAGTTGAAATCAGTCCTCTAATTAAACTCATGGCTGTAGACCTGACACAGATTGACTCCCATGTGGTGAATGAAACAGAAGGGGAGAGAAGAAACTAGAAATAGATCATAGACAGCTGATGGCAGTAATATGACCCCGTCTGTACTGAGAAACGCGCTTTAAGAATACGATTTGAAGTGGTAGCTGCTCGCTTGCCGTAGTGCGGTGGTGAAGTCTTGGCGGGGACTTTTGTAAATATCAACAGCTCGGCTTGCGAAAACATGGAGGAGCCCGAGAAGAGCAGTGAATCCGATTCATCCAAAAGTAATGCGGATAAGGCTGGTGAGGTTTATGCACAAGCGTCGACCCGTCGGAATGATTCGGTGAAATCTTCTCAGCCTAAACCGAGGCTCAAACTCTTCAGTAAAGTGATGGAGAAGAGTCTGCAGTGGCTGCTGGACAACGCCAGGTAAACTCGCTCTGATTTAGCTACTTTTGGCATGTAAACGGGTTGTTTTATACTGTATGTTATTAAGTAGCTTCACGGTTTAAACTTTGCTTCTTTATGTGTCAGTTTCGACAGATTTTCCCACTATTTTCAGCCACTGTCAAAGCAAAACCCTCAGCTGACTGAAGTCATGCATAAACAGTTCATCAGTCAACTGCAGACTTTAGTACAGGTAATAATGCACAGTATACTGTTGGTCTGTTTCATAAGTTTACAGTGTTTCACTCCATTATGCACATAAAGCCATAGCTATATCTTATATATAGTTATATTAGGTCAAAGGTGTGGGGGAAAAGTAGACTAATACATTACAATCTAAAGTCACTCACAAACTTTACTATCTTTCTGCTTAACCACTGATTTATCAAGGGTTGCTACAGCGGAATGCACCACCAATTACTCTGGCATTTGTTTTATGTGGCATTTGCATTTCCATCCACACATGGAATTTGGTACATTGTTTTATTTTAAGGAAAGTAATGTGAAAGTATGTGTTATTTATTTGTTTTTTAGAGTAAGATAGGCTTTAAATTGTATTAAACAACTTTTTTTTAACCAACATGTATATAAAAGGTGGTTTTAAAAAGGCTAGCATAATAATTTAGCTGTAATTTAATTTATTTAATTGATTACTGATACATTATTATTAATGTATTATAATTTTTATTAATATTTTAATGACTGGTATAACAGTCTTCTAAAACATCTTTAAAAAATTAATCTGTCTTATTTTTATACATGATTTACAAAGAAGACACAATGTTATTTAACGTAACACTTTATATATTAAAATAAAAATAAAAAAATATCTAGAAAAGTCACTTGATGGCAAATTAAAAAGTTATTTGTCGGTCACAGGGCAGCCACAAAATTAATAACTCACAAACCACTTTACCACTGGCCGTCAAGGTAGGTTTTGACTTTTTTTTGACTTTTTAATGTACAATTGTTTAAAAATTTTATTTATTTTTTTCAAATTGTTTTACATTTTTATTTGACAAGCAAGTAATCTATTAAAATATATGCTTTTAATCGAATAAAATATAATACATTTTTATGTGTGGTCATTTATTTTCTTTTAATGTTTTTAAACTGGTCAAAATATCAGGACAGTGTTCCATTTTACATAAATGCACAAACCTGGTTAAAGGTTTTAGAACAGTAAAGTTTTCAGTGGGTTATACAGAAATCCAAGCCTCTATTTATTCCATCCAAACTACAGCAAAAAAAGTTTGAAATAATTTACTATTTAATTGTTTTTATTAAATCATTAAAATGTAATAAATTGACCACTTGTTAGGTCCTTTGTAAGTTTCACAAGTTATTTGTAACAGTAAAGTAGATGTAATACTTGCAATTAATATCCTTTTTTGGGAATATAAAAAATACATTTTTGCCAACTGAATTTGAAGTGGACAAAATGTCTGGTTCATAAATTTATACATTTTATGGAATCCTTGAGCTTAAGATATTTTGTTGATTATTTTTTTTCCTAATTTACTTAAAACAATAAAATAAATGATCTGTGTGTGAAAGAGGATGCATTACACTGCATACATGATCCTCATTAAACTGAAAGCAAGTCTTGAAGGTCCTTTAAAATGACTTGATTATTTCCATTAATTCTGTAGTTTAGTCTAAATATAGTTCAAGCACACTCTTAATTCACATTAACCTCAGATATTTCACTACAAACATAGTATGTGTGTAATTTGACTGATTAATCTAGGTATCATCCAGCAGTTTATAAAGTCAGAGTATATTTTAAAGATAGCAGTAGGGCTGCACAATTGTTTGTTTCAGCATCAATATTGCAATGTGTTCACAATAGTCACATCGCGAAAACAAGTAATGTTGAGTCTGGATTATAATTTACCATTTTGAATGTGTATTTTGAGGCTGTGACTATATGAGGGTTTTAAAAGCATTCAGGCATAAGAAAATTTACCATTTGTAATTTTGTCAAATTAATAATGATTTATTCTAATAAATTGTTTATAAAACAAAGACTATGAGGAATTATTTGACATTTTATTATTCAATTAGTATATACCTGAATACAGATAGACTCCTCTAAAAAACAAAAAGGCACTGTTTATTTAATTGGCATCTTTTGCTTTATGGAATTTCTCTACGCTCCTAAATTTCTTATTTTTTATGCAGATGCACACTCCTACAGTCACCCCAATCAATCTAAAATTATAATTTCTTTCCAAATAGTTTTTTTTAACAAATATAGTGAAATTTTATTCCTATCGCATTATATATTGTGATTGGTCTGATCATGCATCTGATGTTTTGGCTGATGATTTGTGTCTTTAGAAAGAGATTGCCACTGTGATTGAGGAGGGAGACCTGCAGGTGAAGTTTGAAGAGTTGGATAAACTGGAGGAGCTTGCTAAAGAAACAGCACAAGCTGCATGGTGAGTTCACAGACTAATGCTTTATCATAGAAGAAAACAATTATAATATGCAAAATTACTGTTGTTACAAGAGCATTAATGTTAAAATGGTTTCAAATAATTTATATGCATTTGTGTACACTATACAGATAATGATAGCATTAATCCTGGAATTTTTTTTTATTTGGGAGATAAAAGCAATTGTAAAATAACATTTGTGAATTGTCAGACTGCATGTTAAATCAGAATTTGTACAAAATAAAGTCACGATTCTAAGAAAATGAAAATATGTTTTCTCCCGTTTTAATTTTTCTGAATTCAGTGATTTGATTTAATAAAAAAAAATGTTTTATGATTTATAATTATCAAAAAGCACCTCCAATGTATTGAAATTATTCATCTTATTTAATTTAACAACAATGTAGACTTTAACAAAAGTTACAGTTTAAGAACCCTATAAAATACATTCAACTTTTCCCTCAGATAGTTTTTTTTTCCTGATAAAATTAGAATATGAAAATTGTTGGGCGGGTTTTAATGTAAAATTAAAGTTTTTATTGCTGTTATTATTACTTTAAGAAGGTTTCTACAGCAGTAATAAAGTTCATTCATGATTTCAGCTAAAACAAATGTTTATTCAGCGTAATATTTTACATATATTAATATGGCGTAATAGTTTTCACAAATAAAGCTATGTAATGCTCATGATCTGACTCTTATCTGTTCATGTTTATTGCTTGAGCATGTGTGCAGAAAAGGAAACTTCAACATTTGTTTGTAAAATCATGCAGGTCTAATATTTAAATAGATCATTAAAGCATAATAGCCATAGACGATATACGTTACACAGCACTGTGTTTGGTTCATTCATTCATTAATCACCCAAATTCATTGATATTCCTCATTACACTGCTGGTTCAATCTTTTTAAAAGGGATTCTGTAATTCTCCCCATGTTTTCTGAATCACATATATCATATTATTCTTTAGTAAAAGCCTGCAGTCAATAGTAGAGCAGGTAGTCGTTTTATCATCCAATAATATTTTAATCCTTTAAGTTGCATACATAAATACATGTATGAAATGTATTTTTGATTTATTAATAGTCTCATTTATTTATTGTGCATTGATGCTTAGACTGAAGCTCATGCTTTATTTTGCAGGCGTCCTAGTGGTGTTCCAGAGCAGGACATCTGCAGTGACTTAGTGTCAAGTTATAAAAAGCAGGAGGAGTACATGCGGATACAGCTGAAGAAGCTCCTGAAGGAGAACGCTGCTCTCGCTCAAAAAGTACAAGCTGGCAGGGAGAACATCACACACACCGAACAGCGCATCGCATCAGGAGTCCAAGAGTGGAAGGTAAAAGGAAAAAATATATATTTTATTTAATATTGTAACACATTTTCATTGTCACGTTATTACAAATTCAGCTCTGCCTCTCTTTTTTTCTCCACATGCAGGCATCACTTGAAGATCTGGAAGAATTTGTTGTGACTCTTTCGCCATCTGAACATTTTGAGTCTCTCTAACACCCACAGTCTACAGTTTAATGGAGCTTGAATACGAGCTTATTGTGCATCTGCATGGTTTATTTTGTATTATAATACTTAATTAGAATGTGTGTTCATTATTCATTAAACAGCCTTTGCACTTTTCTAACAGTTTTTTTCTCATTTTTCAACTGTAAAGGATAAAGAAAGAAAAAAAAACACAAATAGCATTTTCTACATTAGTAGTATTTAAAAAAGTATTATTTGGAATTGTTGTGTAAAAAATAATGTACACACTGGAATTAGATCATTGGTAAGTACGTTTTTTTTTTTAATACTAAAATAATATTGATATGCGATTTGCTTTTAAAGTTCTTTTTAGAATTGTTTTCATGATTTTTTTTATATTACAGTAGTTTTAATATAGTATTTTATTTCTATTAGAGCAAATATTTAATCAGCCTTATTCGAAACTGTTATTTGTACACAAAGCTTCTATACTAGCTTTTATGTAATTAACAGAAAGAAGTATAGCAAAATCATTCTCAAGTTTTGGATTTTAAGGCTAGAAAATCGACGCAAGGAGTAAGTTACCAGATTGGCCTTTTAATAATACAGATAATATCCAACAAATTGTGGGACACTAGAGGGCACTGGTTGACTTTAAAAATAAGCTGAGTGCGTTTATGATCTAATCATTACGGTAACGCTACTGTTGATAATGTGATGAACCGGACAGCTGCTCGCTGGTATACACAACTCCGGTAACCGGGAGTTGTGTGCGGCTTTTTATTAGTATTTTTATAATAATATGTAAATGGTTTAGATTCAAATATCATGACGGAAATATTTTCTACTTTATTCGGACAAAATGACGCACAGCCGCCCTCTGGACCAGCAGCTTTAGGGTTTGCTCCCGGAAAACCTCCCCCTTCTATGCCGCCAAACCAGGCGCCAATAGCGGCCCAGATGCCAGGACAACTCGGGGATGATGGGCCTCTTCTGCGAAAACCCGGAGCTATGAACGAACCTTTTTATCTACTTCGAGAACTCCCTGGTAAACACTTCTATATTAATGCAGTAATGTTTGTGTGTGGTTTGTGAAAATTTTATGAATAGCAACATTGTAAACATATTAAGGTTGAGCTTTTGTGTTCTGATTCAGTTGGAAACGACCTGACGGGAAACACGAACCTGATCACGCATTATAATCTGGAGCACGCCTATAATAAGTTCTGCGGGAAGAAAGTCAAGGAGAAACTGAGCAACTTTTTACCAGAGTTACCAGGTAAAGCAGTTCTATGTGTTGGAGAAAGAGAGGAGTATACTGGGAGATATGACCAAAACATCACGATAAATGTCAGTCATATCGATATTATCACGATAAATGTCAAATCTCCATTTCTTAAAAAAAAGGTTTTTGCTTCTGAATTAAATCTGTGGACACAAGACAGTTAATAATACTGTAATAATATCATAAATGCATCAACTAGATGTACATTTGCCAAATCTGAGGTACAATATAATGATAAATATTACACATGTATTGAAACCGGTTTTTATTCCATGACCCATGGAGGACCTCAAAACCATATTGAATTGCAACCTAGAGATTTGAGAATTAATATTAAAAAAACTAGTCGAAGTACATTACACATAAATAGAAATGTTGTGGTCACAACAGTTACAGTAATTCCATTTCATATTTCTGTTATACATTTAATGCATTTATACGTTTATAAGCGCAATACATAAGGCTTACAATGCTTAAACAATACCATTGTGCAGTTACTGGCACTACAGTACATCCATGGAAAAAAACTGGACTGTTCATGACACAGTGAGTGCGTTTACATGGACACCAATAATACTATACAATTATTACATTACTCTGACTAAGAGTCACTGTCTACCATGTAAACAGCGATTTTTCGATCAATTTAATCCGTTTAAGGTCATAATTGAACTAAGCTGATTTTAGTGCAGTACAGACACGAAAACACCTTAATCAAACTGCAGTTCAAGTCAACAAATTAAAAATGAAACACCTGAAATTACATGAAACTCCAGAGGAAACATGAATAGCGTGGTGACACAATGATATTAATCGAATTATGTGCTATAACATGGGGATCATGACAGGAACGTTAAAAGGAACTAAGGTAAACACCTTAATCATATTATTGTCTCATTCATATAAAGGCAAATCATTTGATTACTGATGTCCATGTAAATATAGTCAGTGTTTCAGTTGTTTCTCAGTGCCATTGAGAACATCAGCAATGTTTTATCTGGTCCTAATCTAAATCATTCAGACATTTGTGTTTTCTTTCTTATTTTTTTCTCTTTTTTTTTTTGTCTTCCAAATTTAAACATGTCTTTTTGGAGCTGCTTGCTTGATCAATCCGAGACCTTGATGCATGTAAACAAAATTAAACTTGTGCTGCAGATCCATGTGGTGCAAATGAGCCGCACAGTTAGTTCTGTTTTGAAACCAGCATTAAGGCTCGGTTTCACAAACAGGGTTTAGCATAAGCCAGGACTAAACCTCTCATAAGTTGAAGTTATCCTGCAGCATTTATGAAAATTTCTTAGGAAAATATGCCGGTGTACATCTGGAGACAAAACAATAGCACTGACATATTTTAAGATCTCTCACTGCAGGTTATTTTCTGCTTAGACGGCTCAAACATGCAATATAATCTAGGACTAGCCTCAAGCCATGTCTGTGAAACAGGAGGTATATTGAATTTATTGAATGCTTGTTGTTACATTACATTGAAATAATTATCATATTGCGTTATCGCCCAGCCCTTCTATCCAGTGTATTAATTGTCAATTTCACAAATGGTGATAAGCAGATCTTTGGCATAAATAATTAGTATACCATGATATACTATTATCACAGTATTTTGACAGCGAGATGTTCTCATATTTGCAGGTATGATAGACTGTCCAGGGGTCCAGGATGGCAGTTCTCTGCGCTCTCTCATAGAGAAACCTCCCGTCTGTGGAAACTCATTCAGTCCGCTGACAGGAGCTCTACTCACTGGATTTAGACTACACACTGGCCCGGTGAATCAATGCATTAACACGGGCCCTGTTCACACCTGACATAAGGAATGCATTATTATCAAAGTCTATAGAATACACAAGATGTGTCACTCATATAGTTTTGAATTGGAAAATGTGTTGACGGTCAATATGGCGAATGAAGCCTCGCCTTCTAGTACAGGAGCCAATCAGCAATCATTATAGATAGAGGTGTTTCTGGGGGAGGGGCTCACACCAGATTTTTTCTGGTTCAAACGTTTAGAAATGAATCTAAACAGACAGTTGTTGTTCAATTTTATTGATGTTTCCTAATAGAGCCTTTTCACAAGACTGTTATGACACATTTAACGGTCATCATAGTCTTAAATCCTTAAAAGTAAAAAAAAAAAAAATGAAAGTAGGAACATTTATATGCATTTATGTATGTATTAAATCATCTTTGCGTCTAATTACAAAAAAAATTAATTACTGCTTATGTGAGGTGTTTGTAATGCAGTGTTGGGGCTGAGAGTAAATTTGACATTCACTCCTCTGGCTGCCGTCATCAGTCTCACGCTATTTTTTTCCTTTTTCTAAAAGTCTTGATAACACCATCAAGGAGTTTGGTTAGTTGTTATTATCTCTCTCATTACAAAGGAACAATGATAGCACAGGTTTAAATGTGGCTTGAAGCATTTTGAGCCAGAGAAAGAGGCCAGTGGCACTTGTAAATCTCAGTTTATGTGTTTTCCATCAGATTTTTATTTTCACTCTCCGTCTTTTAATTCTGAAGTCTTCTGAAATGGCAATAATTATTTTTTAACATTAATAGATATACATAATTCATATCAAATTCACATTTTTTAGATTACTAGAATGGACACTTTATTTTTCTCCCAGTTAAACAGCCACTTAATGAGTGAGTTTTAGCTACTTGTAGCGTTCAGAAAAAACGAAATACCCATGAAGATACTCGACACAGAGGAACATAACCTACTGCCAGCAAGTGTACTGAAGTGTTATTGCAGAGCAACACAAACACCATGCATACAGTAGTATAAATGCACGACTACCCGCAAGGCAGGCACCGTGGGTCACTGCGATCACGCAGAAGTATAAATCAGCCATTTTAAAAGGGATTTTTGCACAATTGGTCCCCTTTTAAACGAGATGTAGACAGCATATTTTCTAAAGCAATCTAAGTGTGTTCTTTGAGCTTCATCTTTATAGTGTTGGTTTGTGTTGCAGCTTCCTGAGCAGTACAGACTGATGCACATACAGCCACCAAAGAAGAAGAGCAAACACAAACACAGACATCATCACCCTCAGGATCCTCTACCGCTAGGTCACTTCAAAAGCTCATGGATTTTCACATTTTATTTCCTCTGTGCACCACATGCATGTTAACTTCCTTTTCCCTGTGCAGAAACCCGCACTGACCCCACCAAGAAGAAGAAAAAGAAAGATAATGAACCTGAACGCAGGAAGAAAAAGAAAGACAAGAAGAAAAAAAAGGTGAGCCAAATTGTTGATGCGGCACAGAATCTTACAAATTTACAATAATTAAAAAGTCTGTATTGTTGAACAAGGTTGAATGCTACAGGATGTTCCTGTATAAATAATAATGCATTATTAAAATGTTAAAAATGTATACACATAGGAAGCAGCTTTGCTTTGGTGTAACATCTGAGCAGCCTTGAACGTTGCTCTTTATAATTATTTATCATTTTTGCTTCACACAAATATTATTTCAACAGTAAACTGTGTTTATTTTACATTTAAAAGGATGTGTAAGCTTAATGAATGCACCCTCTTTTAAATGAATATTTTACACTAATATAGTTGTGCATATATACTTTAGATTAGTCAGTACTAAAGCTAAGACTGGAACTGATCTAACAAAAAGACTTAACATCACGGTCTAAAAATTAGACCAGCCAAATTAATTAAAGGTGCAGTAGGTGATTGTCTTCAGAAACATTTTTTGATGTGCAGGTTGAAAGTCTATTCACATTCCTATAGTAATGATTAAATTAAATGATCTAAATGTATTTACATGTATTTTTGTATTCTGGGTAAGTCATAAGACTAAAAAATGTTAATTCCCATAATTCTGATAAGTAGCCCAAACTGTCTGTCAACAAATGTAGACTTGTACATCTGCGCTGCTATTCGTGCAAATCTGCCGTTTGTGTGTGCACGTGCGTTCACGTGCACATGAGAGAGAGCGCGACCAGTAAAAACAAATGCTGAAACAAAACTTTATAATCCTGAATCAATATTGAAGTTAGTTTTTATGCTGGAGGAAGAACGAGACCATGGCTGAAGTATTTCTTTTAGACAGGTCATGTTCTGTTTTAAAACTATTAAGTCACACAAAGCTGATGTAGATTCTGTTGTTTCATGGATGTGTTATATGCACGAAAGTGTAATTCCTGCACCCGCCAGCCAACCACTAAGCATACAGTAGTGGCTTTAGGACAAAACGTGGGAGAGAGTGAGACCAACGATCCTTGTATGGATGAAATATTGCACATTATGACAAGTTTTGCTTGCTACACGACTGAAAACATGCTGGATATAATACAGTATTTTGTACTTTACAGTAATAAAGTATTGTAAAGTTTTTCAACTGGCGAATGACAAGAGTTAGTGGGCTGTCTACTGTCATCTTTGCAGTGCGTGTTTGTGATTTCAGGAGGCGTGGCTTTGAAAAATAGGGGTGGGACTGTTTTCTAAGATATGATGCTAACCGGTTAGCATTTTGGCAGATCACCTACTGCACCTTTAATGAGAAACTTTTTGTACAAATTTTCTGTCTCTCTATTCCTGAATGCGTTAGGCGATTTAATTTAATTTGAATAAATATAACAGTTTGATACAACACCAAAATATATTGACGATTCACAGAGAAATTGATTAAAAAAAATAGGAATTTTCCAAAAGGGTTGCAACTCATTTATGCTTTAAACCGTATGCATGTGTGTGTGATTTAATTTTTTTTCTTAAATTTATTTGAATAAAATCATTGTTTTTATCTTTTACTAAAACTAAATAAATTTTCAAACTTACTTTAGACATCTTGCTTCTCAATAAATGTGTCTTGATTTAAGTAACTGATAAGTTATTCACAATAGGAAACAAGACAGTATTTTGCAGTATAACATTTTATAAATAATATTAAAATATAACACATTAGGGCTGCACAACATATTGTTTCAGCATCAATATCACAATGTGATCATTCGCTATAGTCACATCGCACATTTGCATGTGTTTTTGATGCCGCTGATTGTATAAATGATTTTAAAAACATTCAGCTATATGAAATTGTACCATTTGTGACTTTAACAACAATTAATTTTTAATTATTTTTTATTTTTATCATTCAAGTTTTACTTGAATACTGTTAGACTCACACTTTATTTGTATTAAAACACTTTATTTGTATCTTTTTCTTGATTGTATTTATAGATTGTTGTGCATGAAAATACTCGCAACACATGCAAATACAGAAATGCACTGCAAATAGCACAGACCACAATGAAAATGTGCCAGAGGACCCCAAAAATGTTAAAAATAGTAATTATAAGAATCTAATTTTATAAATTATTTCCAAATAGAGACAGTCATCTGGTGAAATTTTATTCATATTGTAAAATATATCGCAGAGATATATTTTTTCCAATATTGCGCATCCCTATAACACAATATTAAATGCTCAATGTTAGTGGCATTCAAAATCAAATCGATGGTCTGCACAGTGTAGAATATGTCCCTAGAATCTACTTGATACCTTAATTATGTTGTAGAATAATTACTTGTTTATTGCTGGGACCTGTCACATTTAAAGTACACCCCATTTAGTCTTGTTAATGCATTTAAAAGGTCTTGGTCTGTTCCCTCTTTTCTTTTAGAATCGACACAGTCCTGATCATCCTGGTGTTACTGGATCTCAACCCAACAGCAACAGCCTGAGATAGAACAGTTGTGTGTGTGCGAGTGTGTTTGTTTGTATGTATGTTTGCACACATGAAGTGATGTTGAACTGTGTTAGAGACTCTGATATGGACCAGTGCGGTTGATTGATGTTTACAAGGGCCAATTGTTGATGATTTTTGACTTCTTTTTCTGGTTATGATGAAAAGCTCAAGGAATAAACTTTGTTATTCTTTATACAGTCTTTAAACACACTCTTTCTTTTTTGTTCACAATAACAGATCATAAAGTGTGCCAAGAAAATATCCCCCACACCATTACACCATCACTAGCCTGAAGTTGTTGATGCCACATTCTGACCATACCATTCGAATGTCACAGCAGAAATCGAGGTTCATCAGACCAGGCATAGTTTTTTCCAGTCTTCTATTTTCCATTTTGGTGAGCCTGTGCCAATTGTAGCCTCAGTTTCCTTTTCTTAGCTGACAGGAGTGGCACCCGGTGTGGTCTTCTGATGCTGTAGCCCATTCGACTCAAGGTTGGATGTGTTGTGCGTTCAGAGATGCTCTTCTGCATACCTCGGTTGTAATGAGTGGTTATTTGAGTTACTGTTGCCTTTCTTCTATCAGTTAGAAGAACCAGTCTGGCCATTCTCCTATGACCTCTGGCATCAACAAGACCACAAAACTGCCACTCACTAAATATTTTCTCTGTAAACCCTAGAGATGGTTGTGCATGAAAATCCCAGTAAATCTGCAGTTTCTGAAATACTCAGACCAGCCAGTCGTGATCCGTTTCCTTGCTGAAATAGTTTTTATTAGCATTTTACTAATTATTTTTATTGACGGTGCTTTAGTACTTAAATATTTAAACATTTTCACTGAAAAGAAAAAAAAATCTAAATTTCATTAAAGTTGAAATTGTTTTCGTGTGAAAGGTCATGTGATTAACAGGAAGCTCGCAGTCGCAGCATCTCTCGAATGCGTATGCTCTCGCTGTTCTCCAAAGAGCAAATAATCACTATTCACCGACCGGGACAACAAGAACGTGAACCTGTGCAAAGACACAGCCTTTGCTTCATTGTCGGCCTCATTATATTGTATTTACTTGGGATGTTGCACCGTGAAAATGAAACAAATCTAACAAATATTCTTCAGGCGTGGAAAACTGGGGGGGAAAATGACGACGAGAAGAGAGCACATTTTAGCAGCGCTTTTATGTGCTAATGATTAAGTGCTTATGTTGAAGACATAATCTAGTCGCACATTTATTGGAAATAGTCAATTACAAACTAATAAACGTCATCTACTTATGATACATTTTATTTTTCCTGGTTTTAATAGACACGTTTTTTTATTTTTATTTTTTACTTAGTCTAAAACACAATTAACTGAATTGCAATACTGAAGTGTCTTTCACTGACATATTTTGCACACTGGCAATACTTTTCCTGAGACATGTTTATAAAAGTTATGCCCTAATTGAATTAATCATAGTTTAATATAAGCTCTGTACCCTGCATCTCAAATGTAAGGAACAGGGAAGGAGACTGAAGGGAATAAAACAGTTTGTGTTTGGGTATTAACATTAACCTAGTATTTGTTGCTTTCCTTTTTCAAGTTTTTTATATTAATATATTTTTCATATTCACTTTATTTTACTTGATATTATTTTTTAATAATGCATTTTTTTCATTAATGCTAATTGTTTTGTTTTTTACTAAATAATGCATTTTCACTTTTGGTAATTATTGTTCAGTGTTGTTTTAATGCAGAGTTTTTGCTTTTGGAGTTTCATTAAAAAAAAACTAGAATCGTTTATAGAATCTTTATTCTGTTTGCTTAATAACTGGTCCCTTTATTAAAGGTTGTTTAATTCTTCATTTTTCTAAGCTGATAGATGACAAAAAACAGTGCTGTTTTAAAATGTCTACATCATTCAGTTATTAGATAGAAGAAATCAGGCTTTACTTTTCTATTTCATTGATTGTATTTAAACAATAAAGTCATTGTGGGCCGGTTTGCAATGGCTATACTACACTATTTAGAGCAAGGTAGAGCCCCAAAATGTACAGGGCCGATTAACAAAGCCATACAATAAACCCTAACCCTAACGAAATTAAATATTCATCATGCAGATGATCTGATTGGGATTTAGTTAAAAATCCAGTCGGAAGAGGGCGCAGTCTTGAACAAAGAAAATAAGTCAAAAGTGCGCTGAATAACGTCTTTAGTTCACGTGTGTAGAAATGAGCTTTTAAAGCAGGTTAATCTGACAGTTCCTAGCGGGAAAGTGTGTCAATGTAAAGTGCGCTAAAATGACCACCAGTCTTCATAATTGAGGCCAACGAGGAGCATTTCTGACGAGTGTCTCTTTCATAAACCATTCACTTTGAGTCATTATAGTAATAGAGGCTAACAGAATGACTCACAGGAAACCGTGACACAGAATACAAGAAACAAACTTTACTACGGAATCGACATTCTTCAACCAAAACATTCAGCACGAGCCTCGACTGGAAGGACAACATTCCCTGCTGAGGGGGTGTCGAGGGTGAGTTTGTCATCAGGATTTCGGTTTTGTGAATGAGTGTCTGAACGTGCCAGGCCACGTTTTTTTTATTTATTTATTTTTTTAAAGATGTCAAATAGACGTCTAAATAACTAAACGTCTTGGCTAAAACAAGGCTAATTTGGCCTATCAGTGAAAACCTAATAGACGTATAAGAATAGACAAGTCATCAAATTGCCTATTCATGAATAAATAACGTAAATTCTGTATTATCCGTCTATTTCATTATTAGTCTAATTTTGGTCTATTCTTAGACATTTATTATATTTTCACTGACAGACCAAATTTAGACTTGTTTTAGCCAAGACATCCATGCTCGACGTCTATGTCTATTAAACACAAAACTGCTTGTTGGGACACAATGGATGGCAATGAAGAATTTTTTAGTCTTACTTTGAGTTCAGCAGTAGAAAGTCATTAGCTCATCTTCTACTGATTTCAAACATGAGCTAACGATAACAGAATTACATTTTGGGAGATAAACTAGCACTTTAAGCTGATTTATAAACTAGAAAAAATAATTTAAATATTTTAGGTCACTGCAAAAAAAAAAAAAAAAAAAAAAAAACATTTTGGTACCTTGGAAGCCATGCTCTCAAACTCAGTACCTGGAGGGCCGCAGCTCTGCATAGTTCAGCTCCAACCAGCTCAAACTCACACCTGCTTAGTCTCTAGTAGCCTTATAAAACACCCTGATTAGTTGGATCAGCTGTGGTTGATTAGGGTTGGAGCAAACCTGTGAAGAGCTGTGGCTCTCCAGGAATCGAGTTTGAGATATGCTTTGAAGGCTTTATCTGAACAAACATTACTGTATATGAATGTAAATTATTCTAAGTAATTGACCAACATTAATGGTATAATAGATTGAGAGGTGCATTTGTTTAATGTATCCACAGCTAAATGATACAACTCTTAGTACCATTTTAAAAAGACGGAACAAAGGAATTCTAGAGAATACTGCATCATGAATAATTTACTGTCATTCTTATTTATTTTTAATCATATAAATATATGCCATTTAATCATGCAGTCAGTTACTAGCCAGTATTGTGTGCTACTGTAATTGTAAGACCATATGGCATATCTTATGTAATGCACGTTTTTATTGTTAGCTAACACTATTCAAATGTATTTCTTTACTGAAAGTAAAACATTAAAAAGCAAATAAGCCTCATTAAAGGGATAGTTCACAAAATAATTAAAGGTGACACAATTTACTAGAAAATCATCTTTTTAAGAATTATGAAAACCTTTTTTTCTCAACCGTGTTCCTGTAGGACCAGCAGCTCTGCACATTTACATGTCTCCTTAACCAAACACACCTGATTCAGATCATCAGCTCATTAGCAGAGACTGAAAGACCTGAAATAGGTGTGACAAAGGAGACATCCAAAACATGCAGTGCTGGTGGTCTTCCAGGAACATGGTTGAGAAATACTGCTGACTTCAATAGTATTTGTTTTTCTTACTATGGCAGTCAATGGTTACAGGTTTCCAGTTTTCTTTAAAATATATTTTGTGTTAAAGAGAAAAAAGTAAATAGTGAGTAAATTGTCACTTTTGGGTGAACTATCCATTTAAGAATAATTGCTTAAGTCACTAAAACTAATCCAAAAGTAAAACAAAATAAAAACTCTAAAGATTTAATTTAAAGGACCGCTCTTGACAATACAAATCAGGACCGGATTAAAATATTATAAATACTATAATAGTAATAATTAACAGAAAAAGAAAAGAGTCTGATTGGAGTTCTCAATCTGTTTGGTTTGTGAAGTGCAGGTATCAGCAGAGGGCAGCACACTCCACGAAGACCATCACAATCTCAAGCTGGCCAGTAATAACACACATGTCCCCGAAGACTATTCACAATAACGGTATGCATCTTTTATTGTGTTTTTTTTTTTTTTTTTGATTTCTCAAACGTGACATTGTTTGCACTTTGTACATGGATGCTCTCTTGCATGTTCTCCAAAAACCTACAACAGTCCCATTATGGCTTTATCGCATACATCCATATCCAAAAATGGCTTTGGTTCCCCAAGTTTCCCTAAATGGTGACATTCAACAATAACACAAGGCACTATTTTTACACAAATTCATAGTAAAAAGCATACTGACATGTCTAGAATGTGATAAGCACATTATTGGTATTGCTTGACTTCACCAAAATTATTACAAAAAGGCCCAATTCACCATTACTGCACAGAAAAGTAAATATCAAAGCATTATTTACAGAGCACATCTACATCAGGCTCAATAGATAAAAGGTACAATAACAAATACAAAAAATACATTTCCTGTTAGTGTCTGTCAAGCTGAATCATTCACAGAACACACTAAAGTTCAATCCGGTCACTCAAAAATCTGCCTGAAATATTGCTGCTTTGAGATAACACTTAGCATAGTGAATTACAAGAGGAGAATAAAGTGATACACTTTAAGAAGCTCCGTCAGAGGTGTCTTTGGTGTTTTTCCATGAAATGCTGGTGTTGATTGTCTTTCAAGTTTTCAAGTATCGACTAAAAAGACAGAAAACAGACACTGACGTACACACAATCAATCAAGTCTCTTTGGTGAAGGAGAGCAGAAGCTAAACAGACTGAGGTAGATCATCATGTCTGTCAATCAGAGCCAGCGTGCACACAGTCCAATAAATAGATTTCTTT